CGAAGGCAGTTGCCGAGGTGCATGAGAAAGCCCTCATGCATGCAGAGAAGAAGCGGCAAGCACCGATGGGTTGTACTCCATCGACATCAAGCGCATGGTGCTGTAGAACATGCGGTCGCAAGTGCTTTAGTCAGGCAGGTTTAGTGAGCCATTAGCGAGGCCACTCGGGACCACTACCGAAGCGAGGACGGATACTGTAGAGAACGAAGGCAGAACCAGCGCAGCGTTTGCAGGTACGCTGCATTCGATTTACTAACTGCGTGCTTGCATGCTAAGTCTCTTTATTTCAAGTGAAGGGTTTTCAGTTTTGTCCTAATGCCTTTCTTTCTCATACAAATGTCTAACTGCACTCTCTTCCATTAACTTGCATACCTCGCTTAAGCCAACTGTATTTGATTTCCATAACATTTTTGTGTTCGTGGCATTTCCGTAAAGTATAATTTCTAACCTCGCGAACTTATCTAGGATTCGTTTGTAAACAACTTATTTCACATCCTCAGTAACTCAAGGTTTATGTCACTGTTTCCCTATGCATTAATCCAGTTATTTTCTTCTTCTCTCTCTCACAAGTGATTGGCTGTTGTTTGATATCCCCGGTGTGGCTGCGCTTGCTGTGCATGTTGACAACGTGCCTACCTGTCTATTACCCACAACCTCGTCCATAATGGCGCGACGGCCGAAGCAGGATGAAGTTTAGGTTTGTAATGTCATGGTTTTATGTGGGCTGAGATACTGCCAGTGCGCCCAGACCTAGACAGGAGGATTAGGGTCCTCATCCAAAGCCTTTGGCTTAAACGCCTGTCCGCAAGGCAGCGGGGAGGTGGCAATGATCTAGTTTTACAGAAATGGACGCCACTCCATTTCAAACCCCCAAACTGGAGGACCAGGAGACTGAGTTTGTCTGACCTCTCACCATTGACCAACCTGGTGGGAGTAGCTTTTAAGGTGCCCGGAGGCATCACCCAGTATAGTTCAATGGGTCAATGAAGTACGCAAACCGTCGCACCACGTTAAGGTCCAGTCTCCTTGCGACGGTCACCATCAGAGATAATGCGTGGCGCTCGTGTTCCATGTTAATTGAGCTGTGAGCTTATGATCGGTAGACCTGTTGCCTCCCATGGTTAGGTTATAAAAGAAGAGGGCTATCGACCTCTTCCCTACCTCTGAAGAGGATCGGATTGTGAGACTAAGTTAGTTTGACCCCTAACCATTGACCTGTCTGGTATGAGTGGCTTTGAAGGCACTTGGAAATTGCCACCTAGCATAGCTCAATGGGTCACGGGGGTACGCAGACCATCGCACTACGCAACCAGACGGCACTCCATCGCTGTTAGCAGCAGGCGCCAGCGTCTCCGAAAGCAACGCAGATAAGACCCGGCTCCGTTTGACAACAGTAATAATCAACTGGGTTTTATGTCCGCTACGTGCCAGGGTCACTGACAGTGGATCAAAGTAGTCATTACTTATGTTTGCAGTCGCCGAGCTGGAAACGGCAACTGGCGGGAGCGGGTTAGCCTTTATTTCTCGTGCGTGGGCCACAGGAGTGAATAAAGTTGAACAGATCCCGAGATCTTATCCGTCTCAGTCGAATGGAACGTGTCAAAAAATGAAGACAACGGAGGAGGATGTTTGTTGAAGAAGTTCATACAAATTGGCTTCGATATTTCAACAAGCAATATGCAGCCAGCCACTGCAGATCTTACACTGCACGTTCGTTGAGGGTGGTGACTGTCTTTCGACAATCCAAACACATCGGTGCTATTATTTCTCTTGAATTTGAGATGTGTTTAACGAAAGTCAAATGCTGTTCCCAATATTAAGTCAAACAGTTATCCACGATAGTTCAGGTTTGCAAAGAGTGGACAGTTTTTCCACACACACAACTGTGCTGCTGTTAACAAAAGTTGAGGTCGCGAACTCAGCCGCCACTGCTGCATACGACATGCTCTTGCGCTCAGCGCCACAATCAACAGGCGCTGGAAGCTCCGAAGTGAAAAGAACACGACTTCGCTTACTTAATGGATTGGCCACACCAGAAACATCCAGCGGCCGGGGATCGAACAGCGGTGCATACTACAGTCAGAAGAGGGGTGGGGTGAGGCCCGAGAGCGGGTAAGCCTCCCGAAACGCAAAAATTGCTCACGGTTATACTGCACCAGCAGTTACGTGAAGTAACAAAGATGAAACGGAAAAATCGGAAAACAGGAGGAGGAATGTAGCTATAACATAACATAACAATAGGATACGCGAGAAATAAAGAAAAATCTGAAAGCTTAAGATGAGTCAGTTAGGAAGAGAAAAGGTTGATGTTGCCACCGTGGGTACACTGGGTCTGGCAACCAGTCCCAGGTTTCTGCAACTCAGCATGGTGACTTTCTGCCCTAATCCGATCAAAGTGCGATCTATGCAGCTTTGACGGGTGCTGACGGAAACAAAGTACCTTGACGAAGTAAAAAATCCGGTAAAAGTCTATTATGATTAAACAGCCAATAGCCGCTCTTTCTCGTCAAAATACGGTAGGTAAGGATCAAGTTCCCACTAATTCTCCGGTAATGCATAGAATGCAAACTTAAGTTAAACAAACGTTTGAGACATGTCTGGCCCATCGACTCTGCACTAACCTTGTACGCACTCGTAAAACCCTCTCCAAGCCCATTTTGTCTTGAACAAGACATGGTGGACAAGCCTGGATACAATATTCTAAACAGGGTCGCATGAATGCCGAGAATAACATAACAAACCTATAGGCCATTAAGACTCCGAAGGAACGGGACACCCTACAAGCAGCCTTGTTTCAAATTTCGCCAAGGTGGAGGACTAATGAGTGGACAACACCTAGATCAACCTGCTAAGTGACAACAGGGACTACCCCACCACCGTCAACATATGGTGTGGGAGGGCTAGCAGCTCTTATTCGAAGAACGGAACACGGCCGGATTTATGAGCATCAATCCTAAGACAGACCATTTCCATACCATATTCAAAAACATCCACAGTATTCTAAAACCTAAGGTCGTCAGCAAGCAGTAGTGACAATACCCCAAGCCACCTAGGCGAGTCATTTAGGAAGATCGCGAACGGCAATAGCCCTAATACCGTGACCTGTGGAACGCCAGTAAGAACATTTTGTCTAAGTAAAAGGCTACGCCCCACGCGTACATAGCGTTCCCTTCTCACCAGGAAAGTAGACATTCATTTAAGAACGCGACCAAAACTCCTGCACCTACGCAGGCTCCAATCAGCGCCGCAAGATTATAAGACAAGAGTTACTTCCAGGTTACTGGCCGGTTCAACGATACGCAAGGCAACATTCAAGGAATAACTATATATATATATATATATATATATATATATATATATATATATATATATATATATATACTCTGTGGTACAGATAATGTGCCATCGGAATCATGGCTGAATAGGTAAACAACATGAATAATAAGAAAAGAGCAACAACAAACGCTTTTTTTGTCTATTTTACCACTCACAGTTTTTGAAATTTTTTCAGTTTGTTCTTTTTTAGGGGGAGGAAGAAGGGACACCGCAACAAACCGATGCACACGTCCGCCATTGACATTGATCTTGAGCCATAACTTCCAAGGTCTTCAACCAGCAAGTATCCTCATCTCTCGGACCCCAACCAGGTAGTCGAAAACAACCGGCCGAGGCCAACTGTTTTGTCAGCTTTTTCATGCGGCTTCTCCATGTTGTAGGCTGTCCACCAGACCGTCTCTTCCAGCCCTGTCCAGCAAGTGCAAACAACGCACGACGGGGGTAACGCTGGACAGACATGCGCAATACGTGTCCCAACCACCGCAGTTGATGCAGTGAGATGAGCTCCTTGAGAGAGTGGCTTCCTCGTCCCAAGACACGCTGTCTAACTTCCACATTGCTTACGTGGTGCTGCCACCACACACGGGCAATGGACCGCGGACAGCGGTGCTCGAAGACGGATAGCCTGCGCAAGTCATCTTTACGAATGGGCCGGGTCTCGCATCCGTAAAACAGTACAGCACGAACAGTTGCACAATAGACCCGCCCTTTGATGGAGAGACGAATGTCGTGGCGACGCCACAAATGCCTCAGCCTAGAAAAAGCGAGGCGTGCTCTCGAGATGCAAATCGAAATCTCGTCTCCAACAGCCCCGCCAGCAGTGATGCAACTTCCCAAGTAGACAAAGCTCTCCACAACCTCTAGTGTCTCACCAGCAAGCGTGAGTGCAGGCAGAGGCACCTGCCAGTCTTGTAGGAGAGCCTTGCGTTTGGATGGCGAAAAGTACATACCGTACTTTGATGCTTCAATCGCCAAGCGGTTTAATGCAAGTTGGACGACGTGTGGATCGTCACCCAGCAAGACGATATCATCAGCATAATCCAAATCAACAACTCGACTACCTGTGAGGAGCTCAACGCCAGCGTTCAACGAATCGCCTAGAGCGTTCTTCAAGACATCCTCAATGGCAAAGTTGAATAGGAACGGAGAGATAGGGCATCCTTGTCGAACTCCACTGGAGACCACAAAGGTAGGCGAAAGCATGCCATAAGCCCTAACCCTGCCCGAGGTCAGACTATATAGAGCGCGCAGTATGGAGACGAACTTCTCGGGGACACCATTCCTTAGAAGGCAATGCCACAGTACTGTACGATCGACAGAATCGAACAACTATATTAGTACAAGAGTTGAATAACTGGAAACGTCTACCGGGGACTGTTGTCGATGCGCCGACCGAGGAAAGTTTAGACAGCTTTTGGAAACTGATATACGGAAGACACCAAGACCGTACCATCTTACCGCTACTGCTTCAGTTGCTGGAGAAGTAACATGCAGCGACGATATACGTGTAATTAGTGCGGAAATGGAGGACTTCTTTCCTGCCCTCTACGATGAACTAAATGCACTTGAAGTTTGAAAGTCACGAGCAGGAAATTGTGAATAAAGTGGGTGTGGTTACCAACGCTTCATTTTGTTACAAAAAGACCGTGTACACAATTAAGTACCTGTTTTCCAGTTATTCTCCCAATTCGGACCACGGCAACAGCCCGACCGACGGTGTTTATTCAAAGACTCTCTCCACTTATACCCATTGAGACGACAAGCTGTACAAGGAAATGGCATCGAAGACACCCCATGTGCTTCATCTGCGTGTGCCAGCAGCTCCGAAGGTTTAGTAAAGCCAGATTTCCGGCACTTGCGACATAAAAGATATGTCTAAAGTGTGAATCAAATTGAGTAACGTACAGGTGAAAGTCCAGAACCATCCTTGTTCGTGGATCTGAGCGGTGTTACATGACCAGAGATACGTGTCATCACTAGCCTGTCACCGGCATCTAGACGTCGTAATACGACGCACTGCAGTAGATCCGGGTATCGGTATGATCGTTAGGCGAAATGAAGTGGAGAGTCTGTCGATAGTGCAGAAACTAGTCAAGGGCGACTGCGAATAGCAATGCGCTTCAAGCTGAAGTAGAAATTCAATTTGGACACAATCGGTATTATACAACCACGTTGTTCCTTCTTTTCCGCGTCACTAAGCCGGGCTAGACTACGTGCGATTGACTGGAAACTGAGGAGATAGTAGCCAATTCGCGCAGGTCAGGTAAATTCTGTTCCTCTGGTTCAAGTTCAAGTTCAATTGGGACCGGAACAGTAGGAAAATCCCGCGAATGTTCCAGCTTCGAGAACGTCGTTGATCCAACAGGGAAACCGGTGCCTTGATGTGCCAAAGGAGAGCCAAATCAACACACACGATTCATATGGTCAACCAAACAATGCCCACGTGCCCTGCACTAGCAGTCCCCGCTGTGCCGGCCACGTGAAGAATAAAAGAAAACAGTAGTGTCAGTAAAGAAAAGAAAACGGAGAAGACAAGATAATCTAATATCGTTGGCAATATTAAAATGTAAGTTAAAATGAGTTAAAGAAGCGTAAGCCGTAATAGACGAAGAAAAGTTTAAGACACGAAGGGGAAGACTTTAAACTGCAGACCGATGGCGTCAAGTCGATGCTCGAACTCTTTCAACGTCGGTGCCATCACGACGTCTGCAGGCAATGTGTTCCAATAATCTATAACCCTACGCGATAATCTAAAAATTGCCAAAACCCGGTCAGACCGGGGTTTGTGCAACTTTAATGGGTGGCCACGAAGGGTTGGCATTCGAGTTGGGCGAAACAGTCCAGTCAAATCAGGACCAAGCTGACCCATCAATATACGATATGTAAGGACCAAGTCGCCCCGAAGCCGCCTGTAATACATGGAAAACATATCCAACTTACGTAGCCTTTCCGGGTACGTCAGCTTCTTTAAGTCGTACACCATTTTCGTTCCGGACCGCAGGACTCGTTCAACTGCCATCTTATCACGAACCAGGCATGGAGGACAAGCCTGGACGCAGTATTCCAAGTGCGGCCTTACAAAAGCCGAAAATAGTCTAACAAACATGTCGGTGGTCATGATCCCTAATGACCTGCGGATCATCCACAACATGTTGAAGCCTTTACGAGCAGCTGTCTTCCAGTGTTCACTGGACTTGAAGTCAGATGACAGCAAAACACCGAGGTCAGATTGGAGTTGAACTCGCGGTACCTCGTTGCCGCCAAGCAAATAACGCGTCGGCGGGTCATTTGGACCAACGCGTAGAACGGAACATTTCCCTAAATTAACTGGCAACTGCCACAAAATTGACCAGTCCCAAAGTCTATCCAGAGCCTCCTGTAGGGTCGGTGGACCAATCGGCTCGTCTATCGTGAACCAGAGTTTTAAGTCATCCGCAAACATTAGGGAGAGCACACCCAATTCATCAGGTAGGTCATTAACGTTTAAAGTGAAGAGAAGGGGGCCAAGAACCGAACCTTGCGGCACGCCACTGAGAACACATTGGCGGAAGGACAAGCTTGAACCCACCCGCACACACATTTCCCTTCCGATTAGGAAAGCTGAAATCCATCGTAAGACTGGTCCAGAAATACCAAAGGAATTCAGCTTTTACAAAAGGCGCGAATGTGGAACGATGTCAAAAGCTTTGGAAAAGTCAATAAACAGCAAGTCTACTGCCTTCCCGCAATCAACGGCTTCGGCCCAGTGTTCAAGAGCGGTTAATAAGTTAGTAGGGCAGGAATAGCCCTTACGAAAACCGTGCTGAGAAGGATTAAGCAAGTCAAACGCTTTCAAATGTCCTTCGAGAGCGTCCCTCACGAGCTTTTCCAATAACTTGACCAGCACGCTCGTTAAACTGACCGGGCTATAGTTATCAGGGAGGTGCTTATCACCTTCCTTAAAAATGGGGCAAACAATAGCCTCCTTCCAGTCCTTGGGTAGAGAGCAGCCTCGTAGAGACTTCACAAATAGATGGGTAATCGGAGAGCAAAGTTCATCAGCCAACTCGTACAACAGTTTGGGATGAATAGCATCTCCACCGGCAGCTTTATTGGGATTTAACTGCCTCAAAAGCCGTAGCACTTGAGCCTCGGTTATAGAAACCTCCTGCAAGTGGGAGCCCTCAGGAACTTTTGCTTGGATACTGATATGCGGCGGCTGTGACTCTCTAACATAAACCCCAGCATACTGTTCTCCAAGCAAACTAGCTTTTTCGTGATCCGTGACAACAGCAGTGCCGTCCGGACCAAACAACACTGGGATGCACGAATGCATGTTGCTTCGCCTTTTGACATAAGCGAAGAAGCGGTTCGGGTTTGATGAGGCTTTACGAGCAAGCTCTACTCCATGCTGTAGACGAGCACCACGTAGATACTGCCTGCAGGCATTTCGAACCTCACGATATCGCTTGAAAGTGCATAATGAAGGAGCAGATAAGTAAGTACGCCGACATCTGGCACGTCTGTTAAGTTGTTTGCGTACAGCAGAATCAAACCAGTGTGGCTTTGCCCTAGTTTTATTCCTGCCAGATAGTGGTATATGGGGGAGAGAGAGCTCACTCAAGTATGATTTAAAGCTTTCCCAGGCCGTTTGAATATCGTCACTTTCCAAAATGACACAAGACGACTTTGCGGCTTTGGTTGATACATGCTTTCGACTAACGGGCGTCATACTTCTTGAACCGGGAAGCAAAGAAGGCCCGGCGTGTTTGAATTTCATCAACGTCAGCCAAGCATTGACCAGTTTGTCTGCAGTGACCGTCCCTGCTTTACCTGCTGCGTGCAAAAGAATAAAGCCCAAGAGAAGGAACTCAAGAAATACAACTAAGTATAAGTGTGGTACAAGTGCCAATGTGTAGATAAAGCAATAATATTAATAGTGGTGTGAAGCCAAAGAAATGGAACTGGAAGTTAAGAACCAAACGGAAAGTCCTGAACCTGCAGCCCAAGTACGCCGAGTCGTTATTTAAACTCGTTCGCCGCTTTTGCTAATACGAATACACTAAGGAGCTTTTCATATGATTAAAAAAGTGATATGATTTAAAAAGTGAGTTTTGTGCTGTGGTCCATGCTCGAATTCCTTTAACATAAGGAGCAGGAGCCTGTGGACGCTTGACGTGGATGGGTTAGGCTACCGCTGGTTTGTTCGTGTCTATTGGTTAAACGCTTACAACCAGCTTCGTTTTCAAGTTGTAAAAAGGTCGTTACACCGGTGGTTTTAGTCTGTCAGGAAGACTTGCCTAAATAGCTGAGTGCTAAGGGTGTGGGGGAGTTCGATAGATTTCGCCGCGAGTGAGATGGTTGTGTCCAATAAAAGCGCACCGTCATCGGACTTCGTATCCTCTGGTTTTACTATTATTTCGTGTGGACAGTTAGGTTCCGCTGTTATTTGGTCTCTTTTTGTTCTTTACCATTCACGACGTCCATATCACTTGCGCAGGCCAATAGAAGAAGAAAGTGGCTGCAACTAGACGGCAGTCATGTCGTGAGGTCCATTAGTCGCTCCAGTGGTTGCCATTAGTTCATCCCATCCGCGTTGATTCGTGGTCCTTGCATGTGCTAACTGCGCTAGTTTCAGGCACCTTGGTAGAAGGAGACTCTACTGCCTTTGCGCTAGGTATTAAACTTAAATATAAAAGCACTTTGGTTTTTACAACATTTTATTCATGTTCCGCATCTGATGAATCTATGTTCTAAGCTAAAAACCGCCAGCAAAATATTTCTAACCCCCGTTGCGCTTAGTCGGGGTTGGCTTTAATACATTCCTACTTTACTCAGGCCCATTGTTGGGAGCTGTTTACACGTTTGAACCTACCAGCAGTCTCTACACTTTAATGGTCCACCAGGTTTCTAGGTTGAACTATATTCGACGTAGCCGCTATGCTCAGGGAAGCAGGCTGTAGGATGCTCTAGATCATTTTAATCTCGCTAAAGCGTTTTGAATTACTGCCATTTGACAATAAAGAGTTTTAAGGCTTGCTGCCAGATTGGCACTCTTTTGCACAATTTAGCAAGCCACATCTTTGTTTCCCCTATTGTCTAGAGGGCATAGTTGTTATTCCACATCGTTTTAGCATCCATTTTGCAATGAGGATGGTGCTGAGGATAACAAACAAGCAGAGCAAATGTAATGGAGTGACGTGCAAAGAGGGAAGAGATCAAGATAGAATCGACCGCATGTTCTGATGGTCAGAAAGATAAAGTATTGCTTGTAGGCCAAGAAATCCGACAACAAGAAAAATAATAATCTCGGAACCTACAAGCGTTAGCAACAACTACGAAGTAGAACGACTTTAAAAAGAGAAGAAACCCCACTTTTGCTTTTTGCTGTCACCTTAGTATATGGAGGCCATAACTTAATGCCGTACTGTTGTTTAGTTCTGCCAATTATAAGAGAACTTTTGTATACCCTTGTTCGCATGCCACACTTAGAGGAGTACACATACTGGACTTTTATACCGTTCCATCCCTACTTATACTTGTACTGTACTGCGCTAATATACGGTCTACCGTTTCTTCCTCGGCACGTTTTCCGACACCCTAAGAGTGTAAAAGGACATACGGGTTCAAAAATGCATAAATGCATCTGCTTTTGGCAGTAAATATGATAGTAACTAAGTATATCCTTACAATTCTGATAATTGTGTGTATATCTTGTAAAGCATCGCAACCTGTCTGCTTGTTTACCTGATGGGTTGCTGCTGTTTGACCGCAGTCGTGCTCATTGCAATAACAGTAAACTA